GGTGCCGACGAACAGGACGCGGCCGCCGCTGGCGACGACGTCGCGAACCTGCTTCAAGCGCCTGCTCCAGCAGCGGCACGGTCTTGGTGAGATCGATGATATGGACCCCGTTGCGCACCCCGAACAGGTACGGCTTCATCTTGGGGTTCCAGCGGCGCGTGTGATGGCCGAAGTGGACGCCGGCTTCCAGCAGCTGGCGCATCGTGAATGTCGGCATGGTCATGCCGTTCTCCTTTTCCGGTTGAACCTCCGCGGGCGTCGTTCCCGGAATGGGAACACCGGAGCGAGCGCCGGGATGTCTCCCCGTCGACCGCAAACCCGCGTGCGAAGTGGCGCGTTTCTAGTGGGTTGGGGCTGAAATTGCAAGCGCCAATGAAATCAATGCCTTAGGCGAGCAATTTGGCGATTTCCTGCGCCAGCTTGAGGAGCGAAAGCGGCGCACTGCCCTCCGCCTTGTTGTTGGCCGTGATCCACACCTTGCGGCCGGCCTTGAACGCCGCGGCAGCCATCCGGGCCAGGATCCGGCGCGTCTCCCCGTCCTCGTCGACCAGCCTGTCGAACGGCTCGTAGCGCTGCTTCGCCGCCTGGTAGAGGAAGCCCCGGTGGAGGTTCCAGCGGACCACCAACGGACCCGGCTCCTCGCCGTCCAGGGCCTTTAGGGCCGTTTCCTGCCGCTCGACCTCGGGCATCCGGTCGTGCAGCCCGACGCAGTAGCGCACTCCCGCCCGGCCCAGCATCCGCATCAGGCGCGGCGTGAGCATCTCGGGATTGCGCAGCTCCAGCGCATAAAGCGGCGCCTGACCGCCCAGTTCGGTGGGCAGGGCAGCAAAGAAGGCTTCCAGCCGCTCGATCAGCAGCGAAGAATCATCGACCAGACTGCGCGGCAGCGGCGAAACCTGAAAGACCAGTGGGCCCGCCTTGCCCTTCAGCCCCTCCAGGCAGGGCACGACGAATTCGCGGGTAGCGACGGCGGCGTCGAGGAAGTGCGAATTGGGCACCTTCCCCCGCCCCTCCTCGTCGCGGATCACGGCATCGCAGACGATGGCCGGGGCCTTCACGACGAAGTTGAAATGCTCCGGCACCTGGCTGGCGTAACGCGCGTAGTCGGCCGTCGAGATCGGCGCATAGAAGGTCCGGTCGAGGCTGACGGTGCGCAGCAGCGGGATCTCGGCATAGGCCGCGAGGCCCTTGCGGCTCAGCGTCACCTGCGGGTGGACACC